GTTGTACCACTCTTCCAACACCAATTGATCTGTTGTACCACTCTTCCAACACCAATTGATCTGTTGTACCACTCTTCCAACACCAATTGATCTGTTGTACCACTTTTCCAACACCAATTGATCTGTTGTTCCACTCTTCCAATATCAATTGATCTATTGTACCACTCTTCCAACGTCAATTGATCTATTGTACCACTCCTCAAACACCAATTGATCTATTGTACCACACTTCCAACACCAGTTTATCTATTGACCACTCTTCAAGCACCAATTGATCTATTGTCTCATACTTCCAACACCAATTGATCTGTTGTACCACTCTTCCAACACCAACTGATCTATTGTATCAATATTACAACACTAATTGATCTGTGGTACCACTCTTCAAACACCAATTGATCTATTGTACAACTCTTCCAACACCAAATGATCTAAGAGAACCTAATATATATCTGAAGGATATTCATGTTATGGCCATAAGATATAAAAAGTAAGTTATTTGAAGAAAGAAAACAAACTCATAAGATGTGAAAGAATCAAAAGGTACAAGTGTCAAAAGTTACAAGACTCAAGAAACTCCCCAGTCTTGCAGAAAATGTAGGTAATAAAAACGTTGTACACTAAAAGCTCGAAAAAAGATGTGTATCGACAAAACCCTGTAAAATAGATGTGAGTATAATTGAAGACAGAGGAGTTTGTTTATAATTAAAAACAAAGCTACACAATGGGCTAGCTGTGCTCTGCCCACCACGGGTATCGAAACCCGGTTTCTAGCGTTGTAATTTCGGAGAGAAGAAGCTAAGAAATCACTCGCTAACTAAAACCACTGATTCATACAACTACTAGAGCGTGATGCATTTATAACTACAACTTCAAAACTTTAACACAGAATAATAGATATATATACCAGATGTACCAGGGTAACAAATATTTTTATTTCTTGTTTTTCAAGTACATATGTTATGCTATGTTGTATTCTACAGAGTTTGTAATTCTTCTCGTAATTCGTGGCATGCGCATGTTTAACTGACGTCACGACAGTACATATTACAACGTTAAGCGTCCCTTATGTAATGTCATTTCAGTGTCTACTGACTGAATGACAGACAACACGCTACTGTAAATTGGTACGAGTGGTTAACACCCTTTCGAGGAAATAATATCATGTTTTGTCATTTTATCACATTTTAAGATAATTTTTACCGCCAATAATAGTTTAGTATATCACAACACTTAGGTTTCAAATACAGCACAGATATGTCAACATTAAGGCTCGAAAACAATTCATAAAGCATTTTAACTTTCTCTCTCTCTCTCTCTCTCTCTCTATATATATATATATATATATATATATAAATTACAATCAACAAAGAAAATAAGCAATGATCGTAGAGGAAGATTTCGTTCAACAAGAAAACTAACGATCAAAAAACTTTGAATTACAATTGTCATGTAATTTTCAAATTTCATACGTTGATTGATTAAAGAAATATGCAGTGCTCCTTTAGTCAATCTAAGTCCCTATTTATGCCCCCCCCCCCAGAATGGCACTCCGGTGGGAAAAATATATATATCTAGATATTTTTGAAGTAGTTTTTTTTCTACATTATGAAAATCATTCCATGATACGAAAAAACTTATAGGATAAAAAAGAAAATTAATCACAAAGTAAGGAACTCAGTAACTGGAGCTTTTGTAGAAGCGTAGCTTTCTTCTTCAAAAGTGTTTCACAAAGTAGTACAAGGGTTAACTACGGTAGCAGTCAATAATTTTGAATTGATAGACTAAGGGGAAGGCACCTTGTCAACAGCATCCATCGCTAATTCTTAGACATCTCTAATCGAATAGAGGAATATGACCGTCACCTTTATAACGCGGTCACGGCCTCAAAGTGCGGAATGCGATTTTGCGGCAACGAGAAACGAACCACAGATCTACAGGGCGTCACGCTAACCATTAGCCCAGAAACAAATTGAAATCGTCCCTGGAAAACCTTTCAAAGGCGCTCTGGTTATTGGCTTTTTTGTGGCACAGTCACTTTGGAATATTTTACAATTGATAAATCGTGCTCAGATGCCTTTAGATTTAAAACCAAAAATTGCTATGGCTTCCATATGTACAGTAATGACATATAAATTTGGACAAGGATTTTACTAAACAATAGATTTGCTAGAAACAAAAAATATAGTAAATTATGTGCGAATCATATCTCATGAACGACGCTTTTATGAAGATCTAACAACGAACGCCATCATGAATGGTCATTTGTTTTTGTTAATTTGTTAGCACAAAGTTACACAATAGGCTATCTGCGATTTGACCACCGTGGTGAATCGAATCCCGGATTTTTACATTGTAAGTCCGGAAACTTGCCGCTTACTCACCGAAAGACAACTGAATAATTCGAAATTTATTTTGTTGAGAATGGTTAATTTTTATTGAACGTGTACATACTAATTTTTTGAAGTTTTCAAACCAGTCACGTGTGATTAGAAACAATTCAATAAATAAGTATTTAAAGAAAATCGACAACTTAATCTCTTTCGGAAGGTGGGTCTACATTCTTCCAGCAAGGATTGAATTTTCACTTCATTCTTACGCTCTGCAGTGTTTAGTTTTCTAAGTTCTGATATAGATTTTGTAATATATTTAAAAGTATAACAAGTGTAAACTCTTTTTAGAATAGTGTTCCTCAGAGGTTCTTAAATGATCTGATTTAGTCAATACTCTACTTAAAATATTTATAATCGAATATTCAGGATAAGCTAATCACCAATGGATAATCTTAGGAGATTTGGTTTTAACACGTTAAGCTTCCTCAGTTTATTTGCTTAAAATATAAACAAGTATTCAGGATAAGCTTTTCACTAATGGAATAATCTTTGGAGGTTTGATTTTAACAAATTAATCTATAAAACAACTGTTTATAGACAACATTCTGTTATACTGCATATTTAGTGTAATAATGTGTACTGTAATACTTTTCCGATGTGTACGTGTGTGTGATCTGCGTATTTCGCAAGACCTACCTGAGATTACGATGCAGTTGCGGTTGATTTAGTTTTGTGCAGAAAAGGGGATTCCTTTTCATTTTTCCCGAAACTTACAAGTTTTATATCTAAGTTAGCGGTTTTCTAAAATACCCAGTAAAGTATGAAACTTGCCCAGTTTACCAACTCATTGCTTTTTTTATGTAACAGGAACTGGCCAGCTTTACCACAGAAAAAGACCAGCCAACGTAAGTGTTAGAATAGAGTGAATCTACTGTTACACACCTAAAAGGCTGTTTTGTGCTTTTTTTGGTGGTCGTGGGAGGATTTTTGTAAGATAGTATTAAACCAATTAGTTTAATCGATGCTTCATATGCGAAAGCTTTTACTAAAATAAGCTCAGGAACGTAATTACGTCAAGATAAATTCAGGATAATCAGTTTAGTACTGGCATAATTTCCTGAATTTAATAAAGTTCAGTTATATAGCTTCTTAAAATCCCACCCTAAGAAAAATATTTTATCCCAAAGATTTTAATATTTTCTCAACAGTGTCTGAACTTATCTACTTTTTATCTAGTGTATACACAATCAACAGTGCAAATAAATATTGTATGTTCCACTTATGCAGTTTCCTGTATAAAAACAAACAAACAGAGACAGACATTTGAAAGATCCTGACATAACTAACTTAGTGTTGATATAATTATGCTTCAAAATGTTGAACAGATCATTTTAAGTTGCGTAGTATCAACAAACTAAATATTAGGTCTACATAAAAGGTCTTTTGAGGTTCTATGCTGAACTGAGCATTTTTTTTTTGGAATACCCTGTTACGACGAACACGTTGCTTGTTTGTATAAATAACTCAAACTAATGAGGCGTTTCAACATCGGAACATTGTCAAAGGAACATTATATGATGTTTTAACATAGAGAACAAAGTAAAATCCAATTTCAACATTAACTCCATGGTAACTAAAACGACATATCACTCAAATTTTGGCATACTCATTGTTTTTAATAATGGTTGGAGACGGCTTGAATGGGTAATGAAGAAAAACTTAATATAAGTTTAACATAACAGCAAATGTACAACGTTTCGACAAGGTTTTGTCATCATCAGTAAGAAAGTAAAAATAAGTAAAAAAGTACTACTTTTAAGTAGTAAAAATCACGATAACGAAAGTTATCCTTATGTATTATGTACTACTCGTGAGGGTATCTTATTAATGAAAGGGTGACGGTCAGTTCTTTCAAGGACAGTACCTTATGCTTAAGTAATAAATTTAAGGTTTAGCTTACAAAGAAGTAGTACCTTGAATCAATGAATGAAATGATATTTTAATTATGTATTCTAATTGCCAACACTATGAATATAAAAAAGTCTATCATTAGCAATATTGACTGCTCTCTTGTATAGGGCTCCTTTAACAAATAATCGAAAATAATGAACATACTTTTACATATGTGAAATACTCACAAAATCGCTCACGGCTTCAGTATATTCAATTTGGTCGTGTTTACGATCTTCAAATATGCTGAAGCTGTGAGCGATTTTGCTTGTTAGATAACACACAACTTTAATAAAAGTATATAATGTAACTTAAGTGCAGATTTTAGGTGATAGAGAATTAAAAGTCTGTTGTAAATTTTCTAAACCCTAAATCTGTAGATGAGCTGGCCCTGAATACATACACTTCATATTCTGTACACTTGTAATATCTCAAATATCTGTTAGCAATTCAGAAAACGTTTTTACAATTTATTCAATGTAATAAAACTATGGTCTCTGATTTTCTTTTCTAAAGAATTTTGTCGTAATGAAAAACTGAAGCCTGTCTTATTGTGACGAGATAAAAAGATTTAAAAAACATGTTATAGCGTACATAGTTCTCTTCGAAGTTAAATTATCTATCGATTACGTTATTGCTACAGATTTTAAGATATATTTTAGATATAACGATATAAAACCTGAGCAAATATACTAACTACTGACAACTGGAGGTATTTGGACGATTGAAGTAACCACTAGAGAAAATTATGTTATTAAGCATATTTGTGTTTGAAGTGGTAAATAACCTAAAGGGATTAAAAGTTCTGAGATGGCTTGACTGGGTAAAGAAAAAAACTTTATATAAATGTACGACGTTTCGACAAGATTTTTGTCATCATCAGGTACAAATAGTTTACAGAGATACATGAGTAAATATATTCAGTATAAAACAAAGAGATCACATGACTGGATATTTCTTCACATTCTAATATAAGTATCTTGGTACCCCGGGGTGTTGATTTAGGGGTGGGGCTGTATTCTTCAAATAATTAAAATCAAAGATAGCTTCTTTTATTTTGTCTTTATTGATGTCAGGTTCTTTGTTTAAAATTACAGTGTTTTGTATGGATATACTGTGTTTTTTTTAGTTACAATGGTGGTAAACATGGGAGGGCTTTTTATTATGTTTAATGAATCTGGTTTCCAATTTTCTACTTGTTTCTCTCATGTAAAACTCTGGACAGTTATTGCGTGTTATTTTATAAATGACGTTGCAATTGTGTGATTCTGTGTAATTTTTATTTAATAATGATTTTAGTTTATTGCCGGGTTTTTGGTCGAATTTTACGTCAACAGAAATTTTATGTTTGATGGCAAGTTTTCTCCAAGTGTTGATTATTTTGGAGCTGATGTCAGGGATAAATGGTAAACTGCAGTGTAATGTTGTGTTGTTGTTTGGTGTATTAATGTCAATTTGTTTGTAAGTTGAGTTTGAGGTTTTTGTTCTGGTGGTTGTGTGAAAATATTTCGGCAATTGTTAGTGGAAATTTGTTGGTGTGAATGAAGGAATGCTTTATAGAGTTGATTTCTTCATCTATGTACTCGGTTGAACAAAGTCTTGAAGCTGTGTGTATAAGTTTTTTTAGTATATTAATTTTTTGCTTGAATTCATGGGCGGAATTACTTGGGATGTAGAGGCCTGAGGATGTAGAGTTCAGTATTGTTGTCCGAACTTTCGAGAAAAAATATTTCTCGCAGATATAAAAAGACAAAGGCCAAAGAAGAGAGCTTATAAGTCTGTTAGGAACCTGTTATAACCGTGTACACTATAAACTGTGATTTTGCTAACCCTTATCAACCGGAAAGTATACGACATTTGACCAAGAACAGTTATAAACCTCGAACGTCAGTGAAATCTCATCGGACGTTAGTATTTTTCCGAAAATATTACTGGATTCTTATCGGACATTAGTGGTTTTA